CCAGGGGCAGCCACAGCTTCTCTGGGCAACCTGTGCCAGGGCCTCCCCACCCTCACAGCCAACAATTCCTTCCCAATAGCTGATCTAAATCTACCCTCCTTCATCTTAAAGCCATTTCCCCTTATCCTGTAACTCCATGCCCTGGTAAATGATTTCTCTCCATCTTTCTTGTAGGCTCCCTTTGGGTACTGGATTGGTACCCAACCCTTGGCTCATAACTGAATCTGTCAAGAATGTCAGAGGATTAAAGCAAGAACTCGGAGACTTTATTAAAAACAGAAGCATGGAAAGAGTCCGTTGAACTGGGTTTTCTCTACAAAAATGCAGTGTTTCATATTGGAAAGCATTCCTCAAAACTCTTACTGGCTTGCCAATAAAACACAAGCTGTGGATTTATGTGCCTTTTTCAGCAGCTGCGGTGCAAAGGGAAGCTTCTTTAAAAAGGGGGGGGGGGAAAACTGGGGTTCAAATTTGCTCAGGTCTTGCCTAAATCAGCCACAGCTTTTTTGTGCCATCTGCCTATTTTTTTTTACGCCTTTTTTTTTTTTTTAATAATTCCAGGATGAAAAAAAAAAAAACAAAAAAACCCAAAACAAACAACCCAGCCCAAACTGATTTGGATAAAAAGGTACACTCCCATTTTGATGTGCAATGATCAATGTTCACTGAACTGAGCTCCCACCTCACCATCCTGCTCCCTGTCTCCCTGGACCACGTGGGCAGGCAGCCCCAGCCTGTGCACAAGCATTCCTTACCACTGTCCATGGTAGTTTTCCCAGTCCAGCTCCCAGCTCTCCCACCCTCTGTATTCATACATATTTTTGCCTGGAACAGATTTCTTTAGTTTTCCAGACAATTCCAAAGTTGCAGTGGTCTGGAAACTCCACAAACGAGGCACCTTTTTGCTGCGATATTCCTGGAAAAATAAGTAACCCTCCCTTGGTTTAAAAGTAGATAATGAGTACTTTTGTGTCCAGCACAACCCAGGGGTGCCAGTGAAAGCAGGACCCCAGTGACCACAGCATTCCTTCCAGGAGGACATGGAATGAAGAGACAGAGAAGTGCAGCCCAATTGCCTGATCAGCCAAACCAGTGGATGACCACACGAAAGCTCAAAGCACTACATAACCAAACACTTCTGTTAACACGTTCCTGATTAGCAGAAGGCAGAAACAGGAGCTTAAAGACATCAACTTCCTCCAAAGGTCCTTCTATTTTCCAGTACATTTTGGAACATCCAGAATTTTTCTGATATCTCTGCACCCATCAGCCTTGGAGTGTGTTTGCTTTGGGTGCAACGTGTCGAAACACTGATAGCAAACTTCAGATTGAGCTCCTTTTGCAATAAGAGAGCAGGGAAAAAGCACAGACTGAAGAAATAGAACTGGTTCTCCTGCCAGGAAACTACTGCACTATAAAACATGACGAGGCTGCCACAGTCACAAAGGAAGGGGAAACACTTGAAAGATGTTAAAAAGGCTTGAGGATAAATTCAGTGCTTGTAAACCTGGGGTTTCATGACTCAGTGCAAAATGGAGCAGCACCAGCGCTGGGGGACAACATTTTCACTGCTGCCATTCCGTGTCCCCTTCTTTTGGTGGCATTACTGGAGCATGTCAATCCTTTCATTGGATTCTTCTGTCCTGACCCCTTGCCTTAGAAGAGGTGTGAATTTATGTAGCCTTTCACATGCAGTTAAACCTGAAATAGAAACAGGAACAGCTTCAGGGAATTGTTTCCTCCAGCAACGTCAGCGAATGCAAAAGTGCTGAGGGTGACGGAGGTTCTGTGTTCCACAGGCTGCTTTCACCTGCACCAGAGGGGACCTCGAGGGGCAGGAACAAAAATACTCATTTTGGGCAAAGAAGATTTATATGCTAGAAACCAAAAGAGCACTTCGTCGATGCATAAAATCTCCACCTGGTGGTGAACCTGCCACAGCAAATTATTTTATTTTTTTTAAGAAAAAATCCCGTTGCAACGTGTAAACAGTTCTTTAGTAGATACAACCCCAAAGCAACAGGTGGGGGTGCCTTCAGAAAAACAGCACTATCCTATCTCCCTGCTTTTCCATCATCTTGGAAAGCTGAAGAATCCCCTCAGCTGTACTGCAGCTGGCAGGCACACAAGAGACTTTCCCCAAGGCAAAATCAGACTGAAAAGAGCTCATGTTGCACCGTGTGCAGGGTCAGGTGGAAGGTGGACTGTGCTGACTGGTTTTCCAGCTGCAGAAAATGCTGCTTCCCAAGGAGAAATGCCCTCTCTGAAGTTCTACCCTGTTTCTTGGCTTACACATTGGTTAATTACAATTATTGATTACAATTATCAGCTCTCTATATTTCCAAGGTCCTCCAAATCCTAGCACAGTTACCTTTGCATTGTCATTTTAGGAGTAATTCTCTGGCTGCACACAATTAGTTCAGTTCTCCCCTCAAGGTTGCTGGTTCTACACCCTAGAAACATTTTCTGGATTTACATTAAAAGGTGATATATCTCACTCACCTAGTGTTTTCAGTACAGTTTTATTATCTAACATCATCAAGAAAAGCTCTGTGAGATGGAATAAAATCAGTGTAAGATGGACATATAAAATGTACAAAGCCAGACCCTTGATCTATGGCATGGTGTGTACCATGCACTGTACCCTGACCCACTGGACATCACCAGAGTGCCATAATTAATCCATTTGGCTTGTGACACCTTGGAATGCAGGAACAAAACATCCCCCTTTCAAACTTGGTAAGACTGAGCAAGACACGGACACAGCCACAACCCACAGGATCAGGCTGCCAAGAGCCATCCTCTGCTTCAAGTGTGTGACCATGGCCAGTGGTTTATGCATGCAAATATATAAATATATCAGTAAATAACATGTGCCTTTTCCTATGCCATAAGAATAATGTGATCATAGCCTTTAGTGCAACATTCCCTAAAACAAGCAGGATGTGCCACTGCTGATGCTCACAAATTATTCACTTGACCACAATAAAATTCTTCAGGATCAAAAATAAGATTTCGTTTAAACTGGCCCGAATCCACTTTCTGTCAAGTCATCACTTTGCAATTTAAACACCACCAGCATCGAACCTCACAAGGTATCTTAATTAAAGGAGTAAAGGGGGGGGGTTGTGTTTAATGCTGACCTAGAGGGCGAAAGTGTGAGGGATGGGAGGATGGCAGCCCTCAGCTCCACACTGCAGAGTTGCACAACGGCATGACATCCTCCTGGTTTCATAATTTTACACACGCAACAGAAATTAAAAATAGTAGTAGAGCTTACTAATTAGTAACAAACTATTATGACCAAAAGATAGAGCATCCTCAAGTGGCAAAAGCTCTGCGGTACTCGAGGGAAATGGGGAAAAATTTGTTTACAGGATGACTCTGTGGACTGGGGGGGGTTGTTTTAAAGGAAAAGCGCTGTGGAAAATCACTGGTTGCTTCAAAAATGCCAAATAACGGGATTTGCTCTCATCAGAAGCACAAATATATAGAAATAAAACTAAATGCCTTCAATATTCATATTCTCTGCGGCAAGAGTGCTCTGCAGTGTGTGTGACCCTGTGCCCGTCTGCTTAATGAGCATATTAAAATTAAATCATTAATAAGCTGAACCCCACATTCCCAAGAGCTTGAGGGTGAATGGGGAAAGGGGGCAAAATCAGTGGCATTGTGGTGGTGCCCGTTTAGTCTCTGCAGTCACAGTGTTCACAGCGCTTTTGCAGTCGGAAAAGCGCATTTACTCCAGGGGTTTTAAAGTATCCCTTGGAAAAGGAGCAGTTTGGGGGGTCTGAAAAATGGGGAGGGGGTCTGAAAAAGGGGAGCAGTCTGAGAAAGGGGGCTCTGAAACATGGGAAGGTGAAAAAGGGGGGACTGAAACATGGAGGGTCTGAAATCTGGAGAGCTGAAACGTAGGAGGCTGAAATATGGGGGGCTGAGACACGTGGGGTGGAAATTTGGGGGGAGCTGAAACCCGGGGGTTGAAACATGGGGGG